AACAGTCAAACTCAAATAAACAGTGAGTAGAATGGTGGCTGTCAGGAACTAAGAGAAGAGGAGATGGGGCATTTTTATTTGATGAGTATAAAGTTTCAATTACTTAAGATAAATATATTATAGTTTTTACTATACAATATTGTGTCTAGAGTTAATAATACTGTGTGGTACACTCAAAAAATTGTAAGAGGATAGATGTTATGTTAAGTGTTCTTGCCACACACATAGAAAAAAAATAATAAAAAACAATAATGAAGGAACATAAGGAAACTTTGGGAGGTTTTGGATATATCTATTATTTTGATTACGGTGATGGTGTCATGGGTGTGTGTCTGTGTCTGTGTGTGTGCTCAGTCCCTCAGTTGTCTCTGACTCTTTGTGACTCCATGGACAGTAGCCTGCCAAGCTCCTCTGTCCATGGGATTCTCTAGGCAAGAATACTGGAGTGGGTTGCCATGCCCTCCTCCAAGGGATCTTCCTGACCCAGAAATCAAACCTATGTCTTCTGCATCTCTGCATTGGCAGGCAGATTTTTACCACTAAGCCACCTCGGCCCCATCATGTGTGTATACATATGCCCAAATTCATCAAATGGTACATGTTAGACACATGCAGGCAAAATCAGACATGTAGATCAGTGGAACAGAATAAGGAGTTCAAGAATAAACCCACACACCTACAGTCAATTAATCTATCACAAAGGAGGTAAGAATACGCCATGGAGAAAAGATAATCTCTTCAGTAAGTGGAGCTGGGAAAGGTGGACAGTCTCATGTAAATCAATTAAGTTAGAACATACACTCACAGCATATATCAAAATAAACTCAAAATGGCTTAAAGACCTAAATATAAGTCATGACGCCATAAACCTCGTAGAAGAGAATGTAGGCAAAACATTCTCAGACATAAATTGTAGCAATCTTTTCTTAGATCAGTCTCCCAAGGCAAAATAAATACAAGCAAAAATAAATGAATGGAACATAATCAAACTTAAAAGCTTCTGCACAGCAAAGGAAACCATAAACAAAGTGAAAAGATAACCTATAGAATGGGAGAAACATTTATAAATGACGCAAATGACAAGAGTTTAATTTCCAAAATATACAAACGGTTCATACAACTCAATAGGAAAAAAAAATCAAACAACCTTAAGTTTGTTTCCTATGTCTGTGAGTCTGTGAACTTATTTACAAAATTAAAATAGACTCACAGACATAGAAAACAAACTTCTGTTACCCAAGGGGCTAGCAGAGTAGGAGGGAGATAAACTAGGAGTTTGAGATTAATGTGCACACTACTGTATATAAAATAGGTAAACAACAAGGACCTACTATATAGTGCAGGGAACTCAACTCAATATTCTGTAACAACTTATATGGAACATATAAAAGGATCCTCTTCACAGGAACGTGTAAGTGGGATTGTGAAGCCTCAATGGGACAATACATCTCAGGGCTAGTGACAAGGGCTGATTTGAAAACAGGCATTGTGAATATAAACAAAGGTTGCAGCTATGTCCCTGATATTGTGTCCAATATACTGAGAATCGGAAATCATAGAGTCCCAAAAAGAAATTAATGGCCATTTTGTCATCTTTAAAAAAAAAAGAATATGACTTTTCAGGTTAGCTGTTTCTTGTGACTTCTTGTTAGTTTATATCTTTCAGGGAATTTGTCCATTTTATCTAAGCTGTCAAATTTATGGGCATAGAGTTATCCATATTATTACTTAATCATCCTTTTAATGTCCATAGTACCCACAATGATATCCTCTCTTTTATTACAAATGTTAGTAATTTATGTTTTCTCTCTTTTGCTCAGTCCATCTGGCTAGAGTTTTATCAATTTTATTGATTTTTATAAACAGCAAAGTTTTGTTTTCATTGATTTTCTCTTTTCAATTTTTGATTTCTGCCTTTATCTCTTTTTGTTGTTGTTAATATTTATTTATTTATTCGGCTGTGTTAGGTCTTAGTTGCAGCATGCGGGACCTCCAAACTTCATTGTAGCATGAGGGTCCTTTAATTGTGGCATGCGAACACTTAATTGCAGCATGTGGGTTCTAGTTCCCTGACCAGGGATTGAACCGAAGTCCTCTGCATTGGGAGCATGGAGTCTTAGCCATTGGACCACCAAGGAAGCCCTGATTTATGGATGGTTTAACAGAAATTTATTTCTCATAGTTCTGAAAGCTGGAAAGTTCAAACTCATGGTGTCAGCAAATTTGGTTCATGGTGAGGGCCCTCTTCCTGGTTAGAAGACAAATGCCTTCTTACTGTATTCTTACACAGCAGACTGAACAAGCTTGTTACCCTCATCTTCTTATAAAGGCACAATTCCATTATGATGTCTTTACCCCATGACCTGATCCAAACTCAATTATCTCCTAAAGGCCCTTCCTCCAAATACCATCACACTGGGGATTTAAGGTTTCAATATGTGAATTTTAGGGGGACACAAACATTCAATTCGTAACAGGAAGGAAGTGAATGTCTCTAAAATGGCAATATGAGGCTTCACTTGATGATGGAAATGTTCTATATCTTAACTGTATCAATGACAAAATCATGGTTGTGACACTGTACTATAGTTCAAGAAGGAAGGTGTTACCATTGTGGAAAACTGGCTAAAGGGTTCATGAGACCTAGCTATATTACTTCCTACAACTACATGTGAATCTACAATTATCTAAAAATAAAAAGTTTAATTACAAATGTGTTTGCAGACCAGGCTCCCCTTTACGGCCTGCACCAAGGAGGCAATTCCCATTCCCTGCCCCACCCTCGGTAGCCAACTGTTCCATCCCAAATATTCTTAACAAGTGACCTGATCAGTGTGGGGTCATACCCTCCAAACACTATTCTTTTCTCGGAGGTGTTGTCCATGACTTTTAGTGGGGTAAGTCTTTCTGTGCATTGGAGGCTTTTAGCTGCTTATAGCACAGGGTGTTAAGCTTAGTTGCTCAGTTGTGTCCAACTTTTTGTGATCCCATGGACTGGAGCCCACCAGGCTCCTCTGCCTGTGTTATTTCCCAGGCCAGAATACTGCAATGGGTTGCCATTCCCTTCTCCAGGGGATCTTTCCAACCCAGGGATTGAACCCAAGTCTCCCACATTGCAGGCGGATTATTTACTGTCGAGCCACCAAGGAAGCCGCACAGCGTAAGATGCACTTAACCCCACTGTGTTGTGGCCTAGAGGTGATTATCTGATGTATTTTTCTGCCTTTTGGGGGTAGGGGCCAGTGACACGTTTCACCTAATATAGGTTACTGCAATCTATACCATGACGTGATACGACTACTGTCCAACCCCTGCAAGCCCATGTAGAAATCCCAGGACATATTCCCTTGCCTGGGAGATAGTGTGAAGAAATTTGTCTTTAGTGCTCAGACCTCACCTCAATTTCTGGCTAACTGTAGACCTTCTGGTCCAATCCCCAACCTTACAGAGCCCCACCTTTTTTTTTTCATTTATTTTTATTAGTTGGAGGTTAATTACTTTACAGTATTGTAGTGCTTTTTGTCATACACTGACATGAATCAGCCATGGATATACATGTATTCCCCATCCTGATCCCCCCTCCCATCTCCCTCTCTGCCCGATCCCTCTGGGTCTTCCCAGTGCACCAGGCCCGAGCACTTGTTTCATGCATCCAACCTGGGCTGGTGATCTGTTTTACCCTAGATAATATACATGTTTCGATGCTGTTCTCTTGAAACATCCCACCCTCGCCTTCTCCCACAGAGTCCACAAGTCTGTTCTATACATCTGAGTCTCTTTTTCTGTTTTGCATATAGGGTTATCGTTACCATCTTTCTAAATTCCATATATATGTGTTAGTATACTGTAATGGTCTTTATCTTTCTGGCTTACTTCGCTCTGTATAATGGGCTCCAGTTTCATCCATCTCATTAGAACTGATTCAAATGAATTCTTTTTAATGGCTGAGTAATATTCCATGGTGTATATGTACCACAGCTTCCTCATCCATTCGTCTGCTGATGGGCATCTAGGTTGCTTCCATGTCCTGGCTATTATAAACAGTGCTGCGATGAACATTGGGGTGCACGTGTCTCTTTCAGATCTGGTTTCCTCGGTGTGTATGCCCAGAAGTGGGATTGCTGGGTCATATGGCAGTTCTATTTCCAGCTTTTTAAGAAATCTCCACACTGTTTTCCATAGTGGCTGTACTAATTTGCATTCCCACCAACAGTGTAAGAGGGTTCCCTTTTCTCCACACCCTCTCCAGCATTTATTGCTTGTAGACTTTTGGATAGCAGCCATCCTGACTGGCGTGTAATGGTACCTCATTGTGGTTTTGATTTGCATTTCTCTGATAATGAGTGATGTTGAGCATCTTTTCATGTGTTTGTTAGCCATCTGTATGTCTTCCTTGGAGAAATGTCTGTTGAGTTCTTTGGCCCATTTTTTGATTGGGTCATTTATTTTTCTGGAGTTGAGCTGGAGGAGTTGCTTGTATATTTTTGAGATTAATCCTTTGTCTGTTGCTTCGTTTGCTATTATTTTCTCCCAATCTGAGGGCTGTCTTTTCACCTTGCTTATAGTTTCCTTTGTTGTGCAAAAGCTTTTAAGTTTCATTAGGTCCCATTTGTTTATTTTTGCTTTTATTTCTAAAATTCTGGGATGTGGGTCATAGAGGATCCTGCTGTGATTTATGTCGGAGAGTGTTTTGCCTATGTTCTCCTCTAGGAGTTTTATAGTTTCTGGTCTTACATTTAGATCTTTAATCCATTTTGAGTTTATTTTTGTGTATGGTGTTAGAAAGTGTTCTAGTTTCATTCTTTTACAGGTGGTTGACCAGTTTTCCCAGCACCACTTGTTAAAGAGGTTATCTTTTTTCCATTGTATATCCTTGCCTCCTTTGTCAAAGATAAGGTGACCATAAGTTCGTGGAGAGCCCCACCTTTGTTTGTCTCACACCCCTGCCTCTCCCCTTCTTCCCTCTTGACCATCAGAGAGCTTACAAAGACAGACACAAATTTTCAACAACAGGTTTTTATTTATCTCATAACCATGAGTGTACTATATTGATGCTTAGTTTGGTCTCTAAGTAACTAGCCATTTCTCACGAGCTAGACTTTAAAGATTCTGCAGGGATTTCTGTGGTCTCCGCCACCACTCCCAAATTCTGCTTGCCCTGGTCATCATTGGAAATTGTGGGTTTCTTCACAGTCTCTTATTTTCCTTTGGTTCAGTTTGGTTTTCAGTCCGTGTCTCATTCATCCTGGGATGGCAGTTGGTTAGTGCTGGCTCTCTAGCTTTCTTGGATTTAACTGAAGGAATGAGAGTTTTCAGAAAGCGTCTTCTGCTCACATTCCCTTGACGGCATCTTTTCACTTGCATGATTCTGTTGGCCTTCTGGAAAGACAATACAATCAGCACAGAGGGGCCATGGTTTTGGGGGAGAGGGTAGGAGATAGATGAGAACAGGGGCTTTGAGAAAAGGACTGCAGACTCAGGAGGGGCATGCCAGTTAAGGCCAGGGTAAGACTCTTGTGGGCATGTTAATGGGGAAGAGAATGAGGATTTTGAGTGGGGTCATCTCACCTTCACACTGCCTCCAGGCCTATACTCAGAGGGCATCCTCTTCTTCCCTGCTTTGGTGTTTGAAGTCTGCTGTTCTATAGAAGTGGTAGGCGTTTGTGATTTCCAGGTCTCCGTCTCCATATTGGTGCTCCCAATGCTCCACCAGTCTTCCCGATCTGTCCATATATGCCCCTCCCAGGACAAGGAAGGGCCACACCCTTAGGCTTTGTTTGGTCAGCAAGGCTCTCTTCCAGCCAATGGTAGCCTTGGAGGGCTTAGAAATCACAAAGCACCATCCTGACACATTCATGGAGGAGGGGGAGATGCTGGCAAGGCCAAATCACTCTGGTGGGATAAAGGGGTCATTTTTAACACTCTTAAATGGCCCTTGAAACTGACCTATCACCCTCCTCATCTCCCCATGTCAAGTCTGGTGGATTACATGGCAGGGAGAGGGTGTCTCCTCCAAACATTTCCCCAGAACCGCCCTGTTCAGTGGTACTCTCTGGTTTCTCTTACCCTTCAACCTTGTAAGGGTTTTTGGTATGTTTTACCTTCAATCCATACAGGGTAACATGACCATATTTAAGTCTGTGTGGATGGGAATTATCTCATTTCCCTTCTACAAATACCTCTACACACTTTGAAGACCCACTCACTTCCTGGCTACTACCAAGGAAATGTTTCATCCTATCTTTTTTCCCCAGTGTCTATACAACTCTCCTGAGTTTTCTGTTTTCCAGTCTTAAATCACTGCCTTCAGGCTGTCAAGACTTCAGTGAATAAACTTGCTCTGCTGGGTGGCCCAATTTTGTTTCAAATGTGGGAGGTCTTGCTCATCTCAATAGGTGTGCTACCCAGGCTTAGGTTCTAACAGTTTAGGGAGGAAGAGGCTGATCATACAAGCTGCAAGTTGTGCTGGGTGTTTGCATGCAAAAAAAACTACAACCTAAAAGTGAAGAATGGATGCAGGGAGGGGCTTGGATTAACCAGATGAATGTGTTACTTACATTAAAAAGTTCTTCTCAACATGTATCCTCACCTGCAGGATACTTTTATCACTTTTTTTTTCATTTATTTTTATTAGTTGGAGGCTAATTACTTTACAATATTGTAGTGGTTTTTGCCATACATTGACATGAATCTGCATTGGATTTACATGTGTCCCCCATCCCGATCCCCCCTCCCACCTCCCTCTCCATCCCATCCCTCTGGGTCTTCCCAGTGCACCAGCCCTGAGCACTTGTCTCATGCATCCAACCTGGGCTGGTGATCTACCTTTTCTCCACACCCTCTCCAGCATTTATTGCTTGTAGACTTTTGGATAGCAGCCATCCTGACTGGCGTGTCATGGTACCTCGTTGTGGTTTTGATTTGCATTTCTCTGATAATGAGTGATGTTGACCATCTTTCCATGTGTTTGTTAGCCATCTGTATGTCTTCCTTGGAAAAATGTCTGTTTAGATCCTTGGCCCATTTTTTGATTGGGTCATTTATTTTTCTGGAATTGAGCTGTAGGAGCTGCTTGTATATTTTATTTTACCATTGGAATTGATAGTGTCCTAACTCTTTTCCTTCTAAAGAAGCCTTCTGGAGAAATACACCTTACCTTCCTGAGGGACACTGGTGGAATTCTTTTTGTGAACAGCTGTAACAAGCTTCCAGCTTCTTGGTGGAAACACTTCGTGATCAATTTCATTCCATTTACTTCCCTAGGTAGAGGGTCCCTCATTTGAGTTTTTCCCGTGTACTAAAACAGTGATGGAGTTAGCCATAGGCTAGAGTGGTTGTATTCACATCACAAAAAGGAATTTTCAAAGGAAAGAATACTATGAAAGCTAAAGAAGTCATTTCATAATAATAAAATTGTCAATTAATCCAAAGAAGAAAAATTCCTTAACATTTTGCTCCTAATAGTAGAGCTTCAAACTATATTAAACAAAAACTGAAAGGACTGCAAGAAGAAGCAGACAAATCCACAGTCATAGAGATTTCAATATCCTTATTTTGATAAGTGAATAAAACGAATAGAAAAATCAGTAAATATATAGAAAATATGAGCTCTAATATCAATTCAATTAATCTAGTTGACATTTACAGAATAATCCAAGTAACATGAGAATTTACATTCTTTTCAAGTTCACATGTGACATTTATCAAGATAGATATAATATTCTGGTCATAAAGCAAGTCTGAATAAATTTAGAAGGGTTCAAGTTATGCAAACTTTATTCTCTGACCACAATGGTATTAAATTTGAAGTCAATAAGACAAACATGTCAGGAAAAAATCCCCAAATACTTGGGAACTAAATGCTGCACTCCTAAATAACTAATAGGTCAAAGAAGAAATTAAAGAGAAATTACAATATATTTTAAACCAAATAAAAATGAAAACACAATAGAAGTTATGTGATGATACTAAAGCAGTATGTAGAGGGAAATTTTATTTTGCTCAACACCTGTATTTGAAAAGAAGAAACACCTTCAAGCAAGGACCTTAGCTTCTCTTTTAAGAATCTATAAAAAGAAAAGCCAGTTAAACTCCAACAAGTAGTTGAAAGAAAATAATAAAGACCAAATAATATCAATAAAATAAAAAATTGAACAACAATAGATAAAATCAATGAGCCCAAACGGGGATTCTTTGAGAATAGCAATAAAATTGACAAACCTAGCCAGACAAATGAAAACAAAAGCAGAAAAGAGACAAATAGCTGATATCAGGTAGGGGAAACGTGACATAACAACAGATTCTAGGGACAAAAAATAAAAGAAAGTAGTATGAACAATGTATGCCAATAAATGTGACAACTTTAATGAAATAGATTCTATGAAAGACACAAACTACCAAAGCTCACCCAAGAAGAAATACTTTTCAGTTACACCTGAGCTTATATTAACTCTTGGTAGACTGTTATATAAGCTTCAGCAAGGAGGCTGGTTGCCAGAGGAGCCAACCATGTGGTTAGAAGGTTAGAACTTTCAGCCTCCCACTCCACTTTTGGAGAAGGGTGAGAGGGCTGAAGACTGAGTAACTCACCAGTGACCAATGATTTAATCAGTCGTGCCTATGTAATGGAAACTATGAAAGTGAAAGTAAAGTCGTTCAGTCATGTCTGACTCTTTTCGACCCCCATGGACTGTAGCCTACCAGGCTCCTCCATCCATGGAATATTCCAGGCAAGAGTACTGGTGTGGGTGTGCCACTGAAGTGGAGTGCCACTTCTTTCTCCAGGGGATCTTCCTGACCCAGGGATCGAACCTGGGTCTCCCACACTGCAGGCAGACACTTTACCATTTGAGGCACAAGGGAAGCCCTGGAACCTCTATAAAAATCGCTAAACAAAACAGTTTGGGGGACTCCCAGGTTGGCTAACACTTCAAGGTTCTGGGAGGTTCACACACCTGAAAAGGACATGGAGGCTCCATGTTGCTTCCCGCATACCTTGCCCTATGCATCTCTTCCTTTTGACTCTTTCTTTGATGTATCCTTCACTTTATTTCTAAGTAATAGAAAGAGGAGGAAAAAGGAGAAGGACAAGGAACAGAAGTACATAACCCAAATAGCTCTCTATATATTAATGAAATTTGAAGTGTAGTTAAAATATATCTGTGGGAGAATGTTTCAGGTCCAGATGGACTTGCTAGTGAATTAAACCAAATATTTAAAGAAGAATTAGCACCAACTCTTCATGTGTGTGTGTTGTGTGTGTGTTAAGTCACTTCAGTTGTGTCCGACTTTGTGCGACCCTGTGGACTATAGCCCCCTAAGCTCCTCCATCCATGAGATTCTCCAAGCAAGAATACTGGAGTGGGTTGTCATGCCCTCCTCCAGGGAATCTTTCTGAGCCAGGGATTGAACCCGATTCTCTTACATCTCCTGCACTGGCAGACGGGTTCTTTGCCACTCAGTTCAGCTCAGTTCAGTTCAGTCGCTCAGTCATGTCCGACTCTTTTCGACCCCATGGACTGCAGCATGCCAGGCCTCCCTGTGCATCAGCAACTCCCAGAGTTTACTGAAACTCATGTCCATTGAGTCGGTGATGCCATCCATCTCATCCTCTGTCGTCCTCATTCAGGACTGATTTCCTTTAGGATGGACTGGTTGGATCTCCTTGCAGTCCAAGGGACTCTCAAGATTCTTCTCCAACACCACAGTTCAAAACAATCACTTCTTTGGCACTCAGCTTTCTTTATAGTCCAACACTCACATCCATACATGATCACTGGAAAAACCATAGCTTTGACTAGACAGACCTTTATTGGTAAATTAATGTCTCTGCTTTTTAATATGCTGTCTAGGTTGGTCATAACTTTTCTTCCAAGGAGCAAGCACCTTTTAATTTCATGGCTGCAGTCACCATCTGCAGTGATTTTGGAGCCCCC